AGGCGGTGTCATTAGTACACTTTTATTTACGAGGCCCTTCTTGGATTACTGCCCTCTTACATTTGTACCTTACTTACACAGAAAACCATGGCTTCTTATGCTCTGAGATCCACCGATCAGCTGTTGCTCACTGTTCCTTTTGCCCGCACAGAACTAGGGAAGAAAGCCTTTAGCTACACAGCTCCTTGTGCGTCAAATTTTTTACAAATAAACTGGAAGTTGACTGAGTTTTTATATTTCAATGCTTTTTAGTTAAAAGTGAAAGAATTTGAAGCAGCCTCAATTATCTGTAATTGTTTTACTTCATGTGTTTTTTTTATATGCCTGTCATTAAATTGAATGTATCTCTGTTTATTATGTAACTTCGCTGCCTCTTGGCCAGGACTCCCTTGAAAAAGAGGTTTTTAATCTCAGTGCGATTTTTTCCTGGTTAAATAAAGGTTAAATAAAAAATACTAAGTACTTGCAACAAGTTAATGGAGTATTTTTTATATTCTAAATTTTTTATCATGTTACTCTTATGGCAAATTATCTAACTTATTTGCTTAAAGCAAGCAATAATACACTTATATTTAAAAAATGATATTTACATTTTTTTTTACACTGGTCCCTGTTGGCCCCTGTCCAGAATCCTGTTCCTAGCCTATACTATTTAAAAAGAAATCCATCAGGCAGTGATGGGTTTTCGAAGGTACTTCTATATCTAAGTACTTGAGGTACTAATACCCACATAAAAAAGACTAATAAAACTACAGATTTATAGAGTAAAAGGGAAAAAGTTAAGTGACCCAAAATATCTAAAAATGTACATATTTCTTTGAACAAAGGTCCTGTATGAACAGTTAGAGTCTGGTTTTCACACCATTAGATTTGGAATTAGCATAAAAGTCAAAATAGAGCTTAAAAAATAATCCACATTTAAATTTAAAATCTAACAAAGAGGAAATGGGTGGGAAATGTCAAAATCTGATCCACCATGTTTAATGTTTTCTATCTCCCTGCATGTCACTGTCAGTGTTTTAAGGTAACAAACTAGGCTCAGATGGACAGATTTTCATCATGCTGTTAACTGTCTTTTTTGTTGCAGGTGTCAAGTACCGAGTCACCTTTCAGAAAAATTAGATTCATGTTTAAATGTAGTCTTCACTAAAATAAACAGTCAAGTAAGGTATGGATACTGCAAATAGCCACTTTGGTATTTATACTTTTTTACTAGGCACCTTTGAAAGATGTTGCTGAGTCATGGTTCTGGTTCTGAGAGTTAAGAAGCATAGCCTGCAGGTAGTGGTCCACACTGATCATCTTCCCTCTGAACCCAGTTCTGATCTTCTCCAATTCATAAAAAGATCAGTTTTATCTAAAAAGATTCAGTTCTTGGTGGAGGTTGGTGACAGGATGTCAGAGGCGCCCTCAGGTCCTCATTAACTATTGATCAGGTGAAGATGGATCAGCCAGCGGAAGACCACCCCCTCCAGAAGCTCCTGGTGTAATTTATCTGAGATCAGGACAGAGCCTCAGTTGGCTTTATCTCTGTACACAAAGCTCCAACTTCCACCATTTCATACCTGCTAGTTGTCAGGGTAACAAAAGATGGACAGAGTGGATAAACTAGCTGATGGAGCAGAGATGCTGCAGGTGGAGAGAATCATGTTCCAACAAGACTGGAGCTTTAACTTCAATAACACTGTCAGTATCTTGGAATTCTTTACTGTTAGAAAATTAGAATTCTTCACATTTTACATCCACAAGAACCTCTGAACTGAGCCCAACTCCGACTCTGCAGGGGTTCAACACCAGGAGACACCATCATGTTCCAGCTTCTAAAGGTCTTTATCCTAAATGGGCAGAGAACTGAGAAACATTTAAGGGAAAGATCTGGAAGGCCTTTAGTTTCTACAGTGGTTTTTTCAGAACCTCACCTGGATTGGGCCCCTGAGAAAACGATGAAACAAGCATCAGACCATGTCATTATATCTGGAGCTGTTTAAGAAGGCTCTGCAACAGATCAGCCCAGATGCTCAAATAAAGAAAACCGTTATTACGATATTAATATGATTCTTAGGATCAAAGCATAGGACAGAGGCGAGGAGAACAAAAGGTCAGCTGCAATAGAAGAACATTGCCCAGAATTTCAAAGGGATCTTTGGTCAGAGGTTCTTATTTATTTCCCTTTGGTTTAATCCATCTTGAGGGAAAAGGAGGCTCACATTGGGCCTGGTTCTGCTGGAGGTTTCTTCTTGTGTAAAGGGAGTTTTCCTTTCCACTGTTACTATGTGCATGCTTGATGTGAGGGATTGCTGAAGAGTCGATGAGTCAATGCAAACAGCTGGTTAGATACGAAACTTTGAACCAATCTGGCTGTAGGATCTGGTATAGTCCCTGTAAAGTGCATTGAGATGACTTATGTTGTGAATTGGTGCATATATAAATGAACTGAATTGAACTGAAACTGGGATAAACATCAGAGTTTTCATAATGGTTTAGAATCCTAGATTAGATTTAATCCTCCACCCTGTCAAGTCCAACTCAGGCTCCTTGATCCCAGATCAGAGCTTCAGAGAAGCTGCTTGTTGCCCCAAGGCGTCAGGCCGCAGCACTGATCCCAGGTCAGCAGTTAAACACTGATCTTTAACCTTTGATTCCTCTTTGGGATGGCTGCAGGTTTCTGATCTGTTCAGAGGAACATGACTCCAGGACCAGAGGAAGAAGATGTGGCTCTAATGAGGAGGAAGCAACAGGAAGAACAGCTTCAGCTCCTGATTCAGTTTTTGGGATGGTTTTGTTGCTGTTAAAAAGTATATGGACTGTAAAAGTACCACTTCAGTGGTCCCAGTCATTCACTTCAACATCTTTCACCACTAAAGACAGGAGACCATAGAGAAGGCCAGCAGGAAGGAGGCATTAGATCAAAGCCTAAATCATGATTTAACCTCCTACCATCAAGGAGCTTAGCTGCTGGATGAACCTTCTCCATCAAACACCTGGAGAACTATTCCATCTGATTCAAAATTCTATTTTTTCAGTAGCTTAACTCCTGCCACTGTTTTTAACAGTTTGTGCATGTGTTGCAGGCTGCAATACATGAGTGGATAACAGAACCACCTTGATGAAAACAGAACCGACAATTAAGGATTTTCCATCTCTGCTTGTTTTTTAACCTTAGATCTAATCACTGAATTAAAACAGTTGTTTTTGCACTTAGAGTAGAATAAAATAACATAAAAAATAGCTCTTTTTGTGACCCACAAAAGGGAAAACAAAAATATCAGTTAAAATATAAGAAAAAAACACTGCACAGTTACTAGTTATCAAAACTGAATACTCAGTAATTGGCGTTAAAATGTACAAATACACATTTATTTCAAATGTTTTCAGGAGAGGAGAGTGATAGTTTCCAGCCTCCCTGATAGGCCTTTAAATCTTACTTTAGTTTTGCTTGTTGTGCACGAGATGCATGTACTGGCAGCCAATCAGTGCGCTGCAACATTTGTCAGGTTTGGCTTCATCCTCCTCATCCTCAACAATAGAAGTCTAATTAAAACCTACTTTTGCTCATTATGAGGCTGCAGGTGCACGCGGCCCGCTGGCGGTTAATCCCGCTCAATTACCGCACGCTCTCGCGCACAACAACAATATGGGGCGCTAAGATCGGGGGCGCGCCAGCTCATCGCGTCCCACCGAAAAACAATAATAAACGACAGAAAAAACTTCACAGCTTGAGATTTTTTTTTTATTTAAATAGAAGATTAAAAAAGAAACACGAGATCCCTGAAGGACCAGGGAGAAAAACACAAGGTTTACGATTACACACTTTGAGATTTATTTATTTATATATGATATTAATATTATTATTAGTGTATAATATAAACATATGGGTGTTATTAATATTAATTATTCATGTTATTATTTCAATAAAAATAACAGGAGTGACAGGAGACACCTCAATGCGTTCTGTCTTTCCTCTGGTGATCTGTTAATTTCCCCCCACGCGTGGACAGACACATAGGATGGAAAACTCCACCCAAGATGTTCGGGAACTTTCTAATGGTGCCACAGAGGGGCCATTCCTCAGACGTCTTTCTCTTTGGAACAAATTAATTAATTACAAAAAATACATAAAAGTTTTGCACTATTAAAATTTATATATTTGCTGAGCCCATAAGTGAGACAAAACTGTCTCTCTGCAGGGAACAAATGGGCCTCTTGTCTGCAAACCCACGTCTGCACACATGATGTGAGCGATGGAACCACATGCAAATACAATCTGCTACAAAATAAATGAGTCAATAAAAATTATAAGGATTTTTACAATTATTCTAACGTTATATATACATTTATTGATTATAAAACGATTAAACTGTAAGTTAATGCTTTTTTGTAACAAAACATCTGCTGGGAGATCTCCTGGGACTGCTGGTGCAGCTGTTTACATGTTTTTAAAGGTGTAAACATGAACTATAATTAGTGTATACATATTCCTTTGATGCGTTATATTATCTGGTCTATGAAACTATTTTCATGTGAATAAAATATTTTTTTTCGGTGTTTCTGGCAGGCTGGTATAAATATTTACACCGATTTGGAAGGTTTTTTTTTACACAAACATTATAACAAGCTATTATAGGGAAACATTGGATTTAAATTTCAGCGCCATCGTATCATATAAATCGTAAAATATAAGGATAAAATCAGATGTTCTTATAGGAACTTTTAAAAATAATTATTTATCTAAAAAAAGTAATCTGAAATTAACTAATTAGAAAAGAATGAGTTATAGATAATTTATTCTCTTTTTTTTTCTTAAATAAATGTCCTTTTGTGAATTTTATGACTGGGCAAAATGTGATTATAAGCAGCCTTTGGTTCAGTAAAACATCTCTTCTCTGTTTACCACCTGCTGCTCTGAGCAAACCGTTATCTTATAAATATTAATAATAAAAAAGCGAGTCTCTGATTGGTCACAAAGGAATGGAAACATGTGGCTTGTTTTATAGAAACGTTAAAACTTTATTTTTTCCAGTAGAAAAAGTAGAAAAGTTCCAGTAAATAGAATAAAAATCTCTTTATGTACATAATACAACTTTTCATGTAACAAAAACAAAATAAATAAAACAACAATTGAGGGAGGGGGCGCAGTCTGTGAGAGTGGGGGGGATAATGGATGGGGGCCGCTTCTTTCATTCTTTTGTCTGAGCGCAGAAACTGGATTTCCACGCTCGGTTTTCTGCTCCACCGCTCAACAAATTGTAAAGTTGACTTTTCACCTCTAAAAGAAGAAGGAGGAGGAGGAGAATAGGAGGCGCTGTAAACGTGACTGTAATCTGCACACTGCTGGGGGGATGAGGGAGGAAAGTGCAAAGATTTTCAGAGTACAACACAAACTCAAAAACATGAGGAATAAAGTTCTCATTTGAGTCCTTCAGTTCCGTAAGGCAAACTTGGGTTCTTCTGCTGTGGGATGCTCAGTCACCTGTCTCTGTTTCCTCCACCTGTTCCTGCTACTCAGAGCTCAGTAGATGCCCGGAGCGAAGCTGCGGAAGCCGAACACAGGATCCTGCTGCAGAAAGCGGTAGTCCTCCGGCGCGGCTGGGCTGCCGGGGCTTGATGCGCAATAAGCCGGGGAGGAGGAGGATGAGGAGCCGCTGGAGCTCCAGGAGCAGCCGTCACTTCCAGGGCTGGAGCTATCCGTCAGAAGAGAGGGGCTGAGCAGCAGAGGAGGGTCTCCGCTCTTTCCTGCCTGCAGGTCCGCGATGCGGATGGTTTCTGACAGAGCCCAGATGTAATTGTGCGCAAAACGCAGAGTCTCGATCTTAGTGAGTTTGGTCTCATCAGGAAAGGCCGGCAGGACGCCCCGCAGCGCATCCAGTGCGTCATTTAGGTTGTGCATGCGGTTCCGTTCGCGATCGTTGGCCTTCAGCCGCCGGTTCTTCTTTACCACATGCGCGGTGGCGTCGCTGCGCCCTCTGCCGCGGCGCCGCTTCTTCTGCTGCAGCTGATGGTGCTCAGGCTGCGGGGACCCGCCGCCCACGCTGCCGCGGCAGTCCTCGTCATCGGTGTGCGGGAACAGGTCGCAGCTGGTGTCGGTATCGGAAAAAACGGGGTCCATTTCGGTGCGCTCGGATTTGGTTCTGAGGAAAAAAGGAGCGGAAAAGTTAGAAGATGGAACGGCCAGGAGCGCGAGCGGGTGCGTGCTGCAGGAGAACACCTGCACTAACTCACCTGATGCGGTCAGGAGGTCTTGGAGTAGATCCAGCAGGACTAGGTCTGGACCAGTAGTTCTGGCACGCGACTATATTGCTCTGGATCAGCTCGTGCGAGCCGTTGAGCCTGGCACACGCCCGGCCTCAGCCCACTTTTATACTGGGACCGGGACAATGACCGGCCCCCTCCTGACCCCCCCTTAAGCAGCGGCAGGTCTGCCCCGTGCCAACCAGCCCTCATTTACATAATGACGCCTCTGCGTGCCCCGCACCAAGAAGCGTGCCGGTAATCATGGCCAGCCAATCAGAGGAGGAGGCGAGCCACGCGAGCGCCACGCACAAACCTCTCCTCCCTCCTCCTATCCTCATCCCGAGTCTCTCCCAACCACTGGAGCACCCCCACCTCCAAAGAGATAAATCAAAAAACAAAACAAAAAAAAACACACAAAACAAACAAAATCCATTAAGACTGAGCTTGCTTTTACACTTTACACTAAAGGAATAAAAAAACTGACAGACCTAAACAAGGCAGAGACAGAATCCATCCATCCATCCATCCATCCATCCATCCATCCATCCATCCATCCATCCATCCATCCATCCATCCATCCATCCATCCATCCATCC